GCCGTGTGGGCTGAGGCCCGCCAGCCCTTCTCCGGGCCTCAGTTCTGCACCAGACGGGAAGCCTGGTCAAGCGTGTCCCCTCTCGCCCTGGCCCGTGTCTCGCAGAGGCGTCCTTAGTGGGCCTCGCTGGCCGCTTCGCGGAGCTGATCCAAAGCGGCGCCTTCCGGCTTCACCTGGATTCCAAGACGTTCCCAGCGGAGTCCTCCATCCACTTCCCCCAGGGGGGCCGTTTTGGGGCCTCCGCGAGGACGCGGTTGGGGTGCTTGGAAGGATTCCACCGAGTCTCGACCACTGGCAGCAGCGCCCAGGACCCAGCGGGGTGCGGTAGGTGCCCCCCGACCCGTGGGGTGTGGGAGGGGCTCCGGAGCTCGGGAGGGCTGCTCTGGCATAGAGGGAGAACCAGGCGCTTGCTGACTCCGCAAAGGCCCCCCAGGCATCCGTCCTGCGTGGCCACGCAGTCACCCAGGAGGTGGCGGCTGGAACTCGGGGTGCTGTGGCATGGTAGAAGAACCCATGTGCGAAGGGGCCCTGGCTCCCAGTTCTTGACCACCGGGGCTGGGGGCCTGGGCTGGGCGGTCTGCCCGCTGAGCTCCCGGCTGCTCTGAGCTACTCACCGCCCAGCCCAAATGGCCGCCGGTGGCCGAGGACGTCCAGGGGTCGGGAAGGAGCCCGGGGGCGGTTCCTGGGGTGTGCGTCCCTCACACACAAGCAGCTGAGGGGCTTGCTCTCACTGACGGCAGCAGTGGATCCGCGAGGAAAGCCGAGCTCCGGTCGCCACCGTGGGGGGCCTCAGAGCCGCGCACTGGGGTCATCCTGCGGCCCTGAAGTTCGGCCTCTGACTCGGGGTCACCGTCGAGCTGTCCGGGGTCCTGCGGGCACCCCCTTCCCTGGACGTTGCCCCTTCGGTTGGCCGGCGCCTGCCTCCAGCCCCACAGCCACGGGCTGCCTTGCTCGGGCCCACCGTTAGCCCACCTCCTCCGGCTCGCTCACTCTCAGGTATCCCGTGACTACGTATACCGGAGGCAGCACTTCCTCGCGGACGCGGGCGCGGGCTCTGGGCTCCGTGCCGGGGTTAGCACAGTCCTGACTCTCCCCGGCAGCTACCTCCCACTTGACAGAGGAGCGCTGAGACTTGGATGAGATGAGATCTCTTGTCTTGGCTCCCAGAGCACAGTTAACTCAATCGAGGGGCCCAGGTGACATGACTGTTAGGGGTGGGGGCAACCCCGATTCCCCGTGTCCACCTCACCAGAGCTGCCCCAGCGAAGGGAAAGGGCAGCAGAAGTGAATGGTGCCGCCTCCCAGGGCCTGACCCTGGGGGTTGGGCCTCTGCCGTGTGCTCAGATCTAGGGTGAAGAGCCCTGGGCTCCACTGCTGACCCTGAATTAGTGTGTGTGTGTGTGTGTCTGTCTGTCTGTCTGTCGGGCAGAGGGCCCAGGACCCTCTTATACCACCCCAGCTGGAGCAAATGGGGGTGTGGGAGCACCACAAGGATCCCCCTGATCTTGGAGCCGGGAGTGGAGTGGCTAGAGGGGGCGCTGGCCCGGGTTGGGGGCCCGAAGACCCCGACCTGACTAGAGGCTGGTCCAGTTTCCTTTTGGGACCCCGTTTCTGCTGGACTGGAAAGCTGAGCCTCCTCTCACTCAGAGGGGGCTGGCTCTGTCTGTGGGGGAGGGAGGCACTCTGGGAGGGCAGGGGGAGCCAAGCCGAGTGCAGAGTCTGGCCTGAGGGGTGCCCCCAGCAGGGTGCTGAAGCGCCACTTGGCCCCAAGTCTAAGCCTTCTGGGGCGTGCAGGGCCGGGTCCAGACTGCGCTTGCTCTAGAGCGGCCTGGCCGGCTCTGACTGCGTAGGGCGGGCAGGAGAGCTCCGGGCTTTCTGGGCCATATGGTTTGTGTCTTGATGAGTCAGCCCATCTGTTGTCAGGAAAGATTGTGGCCACGTTCCAAGAAAACTTTGTTTGCCAAACAGAAGTCAAGCTGAATCTGGCCTCTGGGCTGCAGTTTGCCAATCCGAGCTCACATAACCCCGAGTCTGTTTTCCGACTCACTTTCACTGACCCACAGCGGGCTCCGGCCACACCACAGCCCTGCCCTACTGCAGGTGAGAACGGCCCAGCCTGGGGCCTGTGAGGGCGGCCGCGGCCCAGGCCGCCTGCCCCCGGCCGGGCGCCCTCGTCCGCATGCTGCAAATCTGCACCACGTGCGGCCAGGGAGCAGCCAGGGCGTCCAGTTCAAGTGTCAGGAAACTGCTCTGCGATGTCAGGAGGACCGGGTTCAGAGCCTGGCTCCGGCGCCTTCCAGACGAGGGATCGGGGTCACCGCTGCCCCCACAACGCAGCGCCTGAGACGAAGCGGAGTTCACACCTGTTTCACGGCTGTGCTTGCCGGCCTGCCATGCCGGCACGGAGACCCCGCCTGCGGTGCCCTGGCCGTGCCTGCTCCCTGCAGTGGCCGTGCTCAGATCGAGGCCCCTCCGCCTGCGTCCAAGCTCCGTCTTCCCTCTGCAGGGGCATGGCGTAGCCCGAAGCCCTGAGAAACTGGCCGGCTCCAGGGGGCCAGCTCCCGCAGGCGCCCAAGGGGTTTTCCAGTGATTTCCCTGGAAGGGCTTCGGGGACGGTTAGGACCCCTCTTGCGGGGACTCGAGCCTTTCGGGAGACCCAGTGCTGAGCTGAGAGGGGAGGAGGCCCCAGCACAAGGGGGGGGGGGCCGGCAGCTGCGCCTCTTCTCTGTCATCCCCGCCCCTCGGGCTCTGGAGACAGCTGATTCAGGCTCGGGGAGGACTGAGAAACAGCAGCCACTCTGCTGGGGTTAAAATAGAGGAGATCAACAACCTGACTCATTGCAGTAGTGAGACCGCTCTGGGAGGGGGGTGGCAGCTTTCAGTTTCCAGGACGTGCCTGGAGTTTCTGATTTGCTCAGTGAGCTGAGCTGAGCTGAGCTGTGCAGATACCGCGGGCTGCTCCCTGGTAGGGGGCCCCCCCGCCCCACATGTCTGGGTCCCGCCGCACTTCCTTCTTCAGAGGAAGGTGCTTGGACGGGCAGGTAGAGGAAAACTTTTGGTTAGATGAGAGCTTGACCTCGCACGTGTTTTCTCCACTTGAGGGTGGGCTGGGAGGTCCCAGTTAAATGCTGGGTGGACCAGGCCTGGCGTGCCCTGTGCTCTTATTTGCTACGGCCCTCTGTGGACGGCCGGGGAGTCATGGGTGTAGTCCTCAGGCCCCCTTTCTCCTCGGTGAGGCGGGGTCGGGCGCCAGCTCAGGCCCTGTGGAGCGCAGGGGCGTGCCCGGCACTCACAGCTCCCGCTTCCAGCGGCTCCTTCACCGTGACACACACTCCTGGAAGCTGGTAGCCCAAACCCGGACTGAGAAAGAAAGCCCCCCACCTTACCCCACCCCAGAACCGCCGTGGCCAAGTCCATGTCCTTTCGTAGACCAGAGCTCCTCTGACCTTACCTTAGAAACACCCATCTCTCCAGCTTGGGCTTCTGGCTTCTCAGTTCAGACCTTACAAGAGAAGGCAAATCAGGAGGGCTTGGAAGTGCTCACGTCTGGACAGACCCCAGACCTGGCAGACCAGGGGGTGACAGCGGGCAGGATCGAGGGAGGTGAGCGGGGTCCACAGCACAGAGCCCTTGTTCCCGGGGTCCTTGGCGGGCATTTGTGAGTGGCCGAAACGCAGCCACCCTGGCCACGGAGGCCTCCGTAGACCTGTGTCCAGACCTCTGTCACCTGGCCCTGGCCCAGCTCTGAACACCGCCAGGGAGCAAGCAGCAGGGGCCCAGGTGGGCAGGTGAGCCGGCTCTGAGTTGGTGCCCCCAGCACGGCACTGGCGTGGGCCTGGTGTGTGAGCCCGTGCTTTCTACGTCAGCGCTGTCTCCCATGAGATGGTGTTGCCAACTGCACTTTACAGAGGGTGGGCCTTCGGGGAAGTCCACCGTCTTTTAGGTCTAGCGGGGAAAGGGGCTGCGGCCATCTGTGTACCCCCCAAAGTTCGTGCCTCCCCCACTGCACCCCGCCCCATCCTCGGTTAACTTTGTGAAACGCTAAAGTGGTTTCGAGGGACCCTTTGGCCTTGTTCCAGCTGATCTCCAGCTTCATCCCAGTCCACCTACCTACCCCTTGTCCGCTCAGCTCTGGCTTCGCAGCCGGCCCTGGCTCCACCCTTCCCATTCCTTGAAGTTCAGTCCCGCGCCTGCCTCAGGATTCTGCACTCCCTGTTCCTCTGCCTGGAGAGGTCTCCTGGACCCTGCCCGGGAGCGCCTGCTGCATTTAACCCACATCGGAATTCTCGCCTGGCACCCGCATCCCACCAGCCTATCACTCTGGGGAGCAGGCCCTGGCTTCCGTGCTCACAGCCACCCTCGGCTCCGGGCCGGGCACTCAGGCTCTCGAGGGCCTTTGCCAAGGAGGGAGCCGGGTGTCACGACCTGGGCGTTCAGAGGCTGTCTCTGCGGGGCGTCTGTGTTGTCTCTAACATCCTCCCCTGTTCGCTCTCCTAGTGAGGTGTCCCGAAGGGAGCTACTCCAGAGACGAGCACTGCGTGCCCTGTCCGGTCGGATCCTACCAAGAGCATCCGGGCAGCCCGGCCTGTGTCCCGTGCCCTGCGGGCAGAAAGACCGTTTCTGTTGGAGCTTTCAGCCGGACTCACTGTAAGCACTCAGGGCCCTGCTTGGAAAGAGAAACCTCGCAAAGTAATGGACACGGCAGGGTGACCCTTCTCAGCGCTTTGAACTTTGGGGTCAGATAGTTCATTTTGGGGGGCAGCCCCATGTATTGCAAGGTACTTGGTAGCAGCCTCGCTGTCCCTTACCCATTAGACCCCCCAGTCCCTGTCTGAGCACCGGCAGCCAAATAAGCCCGAAGGCATTGCCAAATGCCTCCGAGTGGAGGCTGGAATTGCGCACCATTGAGAAGATTGGCCCCATCTTTGAGCACCCGGGCCTGCCATCTCGATCTTTCCCCCAACTGCCCTTGTCGGTAAACATTCTTGCCTCTGACTTCACAGACAGGAAGACCAAGCTTACAGGAGTCTTAGCCGAAGTCTCTCAGTTAGGAAGTGATATAACTGGTCTTTGACCTCAGCACTGTCTAATTCGGAAACTTCTGCTTTTTGGACGTCACCCTTATCAGCCCGAGACGTGGAAGATCTTTCCACGCACGGTTGTTTTGGCCCCAGCTCGCAGCCGGTACCGGCCTGTGCGTCTGCTGTGCGTGTGTGCGGGGGTCAGGTGGTTTCGCGTGGCCTTGTTGATCCTCGTCCGGGTAGGGCTGGGTTTTCCCTAGCAGGAACCCACAGCTTGCTTGGTTAGGCGTCTTTCATGCCAGTTTGAAATTGTGTCAGCAACTTGTAACTGCTTAAAATCAGAATAGGTTTTACACTTAAAAAAAATATGTATGTATGCATACAGAACTGGGGTACAGGTCAGAGGCGCAGGGGCGGTGAGAGGATTCACCAGAGACACGAGCAGAAGATGCAGACAGACGAAGCACACTGCTGAGGGGGGCAGCGGGCGGACCAGGAGAGGTCTGCTGGGCCCTGTGGGTCACCTCCAGGGCAGGTGGGGATCGAACTCGCGCTGCAGTGGCTGTGGCTGGCTCCGTGGTGCTATGCTTTTACCCATTGTGCTGCCAGGGAGGGCACAGTTTTTACACTCTTAAAATAATTAGTTAAAAATCATCAGGGTGGTTTGCCTTGGTCAGGAGAACAGTGGAAATAAGGCGTTCATTCCAGAGAAGTAACGGTGAGGGGATTTCTCGACTGGGAGTCTGTGGTCCCTCCCTTCGGCAGGGAGGAGTATCCTGATATCTGGGGGTGCCCGCCCTCCGGGGCTTGGTGACCCTGGAGCAAGCATCCCAAGGAGCGCTTCCTTGAGAGGGGGTGCATGTATCATCCTGAGACTGTCTGTGGAGGGGCCTGCAGGGTGACGGGGACGGGAAGAGGCTGAGGCCCGGCTCCAGCTGGCCCAGTTCAGGCTCCCCTCCTACGCTCCGGGACCTCGGCCAAGCCTCCTTCCTTCTCTGTACGTCGGTTTCCTCACTGTCACGTGGCATTGCTGCTGTCTCCAGCACAGGGAGGGTGTGTGAGCGCGCTGTGAGCTTGGGCTGCTGTGTGCAGAGAGCTGGAGGCTGCAGCCGCAGACGCACACAGTTCCCGAGGCCGCCCATCCAAGCTCAGGCACCAGCGTGGGCGGGTCTGGTGTGGGTTCTTGTCTTGGTTAGGTCCACACGTGGCCTGCCCCTGGTGTGCACACAGAGCGGCTTTCCTGCGTCTTACTTTCTGAGAAGGGCGCTGATCTTACCAGGGGCCGCCGCCCCCCATGATCTCGTTAAGCCTAGTGGTTTCCAGAAGACCCCATCTCCAAATGCCATCACCCTGGGGCCAGAGCTTCACCTGATGAGTTTGGGGGGAGTGCTGAGCCTCCAGGTGACAGCAGGATGGAATCCATGAAGGTGGCCAAGATGAACAATAAGCTTTAAGCTGAACAACCCCACGCGGGGCGTGAGCCTTGGCTGTATCCCACGCGGCGGCATCACATCCTGCCGCCTCTCCCGGGCTTCTTCCTGGCAGACGGTGGTTGTGTCTCCAGGGCGAGGGTGCGCCTGCCACCGTCCCTGCTGTGGGACCTGGTCGTATTCTCAGATGGACTCACGTGGGAGAGAAGCAAAAGCTTTAAAGATGCGGCACCATCACAGTGGCTCCTTGATTTTTTAGTGGGGTGGCGGCTTTTAGAGTTCCATTTCTTCTGTATACCTGAGTCTGCATCACAGCTTTCACTTAAAAATACTTCTCCAGTTTCTAAACTTCCAGGTCCAGCGAATGACTTTTGAGGATCTGTTGAGACCAAGTAGCAAGTTGCCTTTCCACCTGCCCACCCTCTCTCCCTCCTTCCTTCCTCCTCCTCCTCTCTCTCTGTCTCCTTACTGATGCATTCTTCACGCACAGCACATACGGCATGAAAAGCATCCTAAAGCACCCTTGATAACCTCACCACGCAACTCAAAAAAGTTACTAATCGAGAGTCACAATTATTAGTCTCAAAATATAGAAAGTAAGACGAATTGGTGTCCTCGAGCCCCGGGGCTGCGGTTAAAGGTCTTTCATCAGCTCCCCAGCCTTGCAGGCCCAAGCCTGGCTGCTCCCCATTGAAGTCATTCTCCAAAGCCTGTTGAGCACCCCCTTTCCATCATAGACGCTGCTGTTTGAAGCAAGCAAAGATCCGCCCCTGTGGGGAGAGGGCTCTGGGCGGGCGAGCTATAATGCGGACAAGGCCTCTGCTGGGGGCCAGTGGTAGGTGTTGCTACAGCAGCTAGTGAGAGACAAGTGGGGTACAGGTTGAGGGGGCCTCCAGCCCGAGGAGCGGCTCATGCACGCGACCAGAAGTCGTCATCTGGGGATGCAAGTTGTGGTTAGCGACTGGGGGACGTGCATTGTATGTCAGATGCTGAGCGGGCACTGGGCACAGTAGCAAGTGGACCAGATCAGGCCGCTGCCCACCGGGAGCCTCCACTGGGTGGGAGGCAGATGGCTGCCCCCCATCACGCAGAGGATGGGCGCCATCGCCGAGCTCCATGTAGGGGAGCGCTGCTGATAAATCAGCGGGAGGGTCAGGGCTCCCCTGAGGAATGAGCATTGAGTGGGGATCTGCCACTGTGGGCCAGCAGCCATATTGAAGACTGGGGAGCCCTGTGCAGACACCAGATGGGCAGAGACTGGCAGCATGTGGACAGATGGCATCAGAGTAGGTACAGCATTGCGCACACCCCAGGGCACAAGCAGACCAGTGGGGCGAGTGGCTGGACGGGCCTGGGGGTCATCCTTTGCTCAGGATGGGACACTGACAGGCTGCAAGCTACTGCGAGTCTGGGTTAGACAGTGAGGTGGACTCCGCCTCAGCATGGGGGCTCTGGGGGCCCGGAAGAGGAGGGGCCCCTGTCCAGGGGCCACTGCTCATCCTTTTGCCCATGGCTTGGTTCCAGGTGTCACTGACTGCCAGATGAATGAGTTGGGCCTGCAGTGTGACCAGGATGGCCAGTACCGGGCCAGCCAGAGGGCCAGTGGCGGCGGGAAGGCCTTCTGTGTGGACTCCGGGGGCCAGAGGCTGCCGTGGTCGGAGACGGAGGCTCCACTCTCGGACTCCCAGTGCCTGGGTATGTGCTGCTTCCATCAGCCATTATTCCTGGGGAGAGGCAGGGTGTGCTCTAGAACTTTCTAGAGAGGGAGAGGTGTGTGAGATGCATTTGTCTCCAGCCTTTTGCACTGACAAGTCTAATCTATGTAGAAATTGAAAGAATAGTAGAATGACGAATAACTCATCACCTGGACCCCAGATTGCTAGTGTTCTCTTCTCCCTTGCTTTCTTTTCAATGATTGAAAACTAAGTTTCAGATATCCTGAAACATCACTCTTAAATCTGAGAAAGGAATTTGAAGTGCTCCATCTGCAGAGGGCTTCCTTGGGGGCAGTTTCCTCTGCAAAGCTGGTCAGCCGTGTCCCTCGAGTCCACTTTCTTGAGTCCTGTCTTGTCTCCATAGCTTGCTCGCTGGGCTACCCAGAGCAAATTGCTCAACTTCTCTGGTCCCCAGGCCTCCTGCCTGCCTGAGAGACATGGTGGGTCAGCATCATCCTGTGAGCTCGCTAAAAGCGAGGGCCCCTGCCATTGCCCGAAGCCTCCTGATCTTAAATCCATCCCTCACGGTGGTCCCCTGGAAGTTTGCTCAGTTGTTTATTCATAAAATTAGTCTGATCTCGGCCAGTGAACATATTTAAGCTCAGCGTCTCCCTAATTCTGCATCTGCTTTTCTAAGTCTGCTCTTTGTTGGCCCATGGCACACTGCTTCTAGACCAGGTGGCGTGCCCAGACAAGAACGTGCCCACCTTGGCGTTACATCATCCCCCATCATGTTCTCTCCAGGCGTCTAGTGTTGTAGTGACCACGGCAGGCTTTCCTTTGTCCACCACCCGCCCACCCATCCACGCTCTGGCCCACCCATCCACCCTTCTGCCCACCCATCTATTCAATAAACGGAACACCAGCTCTCTGTCACTATCCTAGCTAGTGGGTTCCGATATCGTCAGAACACTGCTCATGTTTGGAAAGACCCAGGCACCCAAGTAGCCACGACACGCGGTGCGGAGTGACCGTTGCACTCGGAGTTGGGCTCGCTTGCTGACCGCAGCGCCTTTCCCCAGACATTTGTAAATGCCAGCTGTGTAGAAGCGTGGCTCAGGAGCCGGACCGCCTAGCCTGTCGACGGCTTCAGTCGTCCATGCAGTAACTACCAGCTCAGGTCAGGGGCCTTAGGAGCGCCTTAGGGTGCTGGGGGCAGGGGTCCCATCACCCCAGTGAACCCTTGTGGGAACCTGTGTGTTTTCTCACTGAAGGCTCAATCGACTGTCATGTGGGCTGTGGGGAAGACCCTGCTTGGGAACTGACAGACTGTTCCCGGTGTGCTGAGCCTGCAGAGGGCTGTGAGCGCCTGGCCTGGGCAGCTAAGCTCATGGACCCTGGGCTGCGTGGAACTGCTGTCGGCTGGGCTGGAATTTGCTGTCTCTACAACCCAGATTCCCAGGGGCAGCAAAGTAAAAGCAAGAAGAAGAGAGGAGGCCACGGCGCTGGGGATGGGCGGAAGGCCGCTTTGCAAAGCTGGAAGTTTTTCCTACTTTATAAAAATTCTGAAGTCTCAGAACATGTCACTTCTATTAGACTCACACTCTGCTTTTTCAACCCCACCCCAAAGGAATTGTTTTTCTCCAAAAGCTGGGATAGCCTTGACTTTACCCACATGAATCAAAGAAGCCTAGACAAACTTGCTTTTTTTCTAGGAGCATCAGAGGCGTGAGTTAATGTGCACGCATATAGTTTCATTGCTCCAAACTAAACCTCACGCTTTCGGACTTGTGTTTGATAGCACAGACCACTCATCCTGCTGAACATTTTTAGCTTGTAAAGTGAGTCTCATTCCTTGCGGCTTTCCTTTGGGCTTGGGGGTGAGTTCCAAGCTCCATCGTCTTGAGAAACCCTGCTGTCGTCCTCCCCGGTCTAGTTCCAAAGCACATGACCACGCTTTTCTTATCAGAGAGGCGCTCGGGCTTGGACATGCAACTTGAAACGCAGATTCTGATATATAATTTAAACAAATATTGTAAAAAATGGCCTGAGACACGGCCAGAGATTTACATAATCCCCTATGCACCTGTTTGTCTTCTTCAAAGTAATTTACCTGTTTGCAGCAGTAATTGGAAGTTGTCATGGAAAGAACATTTTCCATAAAATATTGGTATGATATAATTATCTCTCAAAGCTAAGGACAGGGAAATAAAAGTTTGGATAGAAAGTTCTTATATTTCCAACAATTGGGTGGGGGGAGGGAGCCAGAGAGAGTTACAGGTCTCCTCGGGGGCCAGCAGGCTGCAGGCTGGACAGGGGGACTCGTGTCCTGGGGCTTCTGTGTGACCACTGGCTGCAAGTGGGAGCCTGCCCGACCTAGCGCCGTTTGGCTGCTCTGGAGCTGCTCTGCACCCTCAGAGCGTCACCTTTCATGAACCTGCTTTACTTTCAGTGATGCGGAAATTCGAGAAGGTTCCAGAATCGAGCGTGATCTACAGTGCTGACGTTGCTGTGGCGGTCAGGTCCAGGGCTCCTGGTTCTGAGTCCCCACTGGTGCAGTGCTTGGCAGGTACGGTCACGGGGAGGTGGGCCTTGCGGCACGGGGTGGACTTACTCTGTCCCCCTTGGCCGGCCCGGCCAGGGCACTGACACCCCCTGCACGGACAGAGCAGTCATGTCTAAGCGGTCTTAGGCAGCCGCAGCTTAGTGCCTGTGGGCCGGTAGCTGTGAAGTCTTGGACCCTCAGGCCCCAAGTCTGTGGATTTGGCTCTGGCTTTCCTGCTCAGCGGCCGTCCACCTCGGGAGGGTCACCGCAGGGGCTGAGTCTCAGCTTCCTCCCTTGCCAGATGGGGCAGTGACTCCGTAGCTCCGGGAATGCTCACGGTGGCACGTGCTCAGCCGCGGCCTGGTGCAGTGCACGCGAGTTTGCACGTGTGTTTCTGCGTGCTCATCTGCGAATCCGTGTGCATGTGTGCAAGTCTGTGTGCGTGCTGTGCATGTGTCTGTGTGTCTGGGTGCACTGGGGCAGGGCTGGGGCATGCGTCCCCTGTGCCCGGCACCAGCTCAGGGACGGGCAGTGACTGTCCGGTGTGCCTGCAGACTGTGCGTCGGATGAGGCCTGCAGCTTCCTCGCGGTGTCCACGGTGGGATCCGAGGTCTCCTGTGATTTCTATGCTTGGTCAAGCGACCACATCGCCTGCGTGACAACTGCTCAGGTGGGTCATGGTGTCCGTGCGGTGGTCCCGCCCCTCCCCCGCCACCAGGCCTTAGTCTGGAGCCCAGATGCCTCCGATCGCTCCGAGCCCTGGGCCACATCAGCTCCTTCTGTGTGGAGAAGTCACATGTGGCTATAGTGCAGCAAGATAAAGAGACACATGAGGTTGCTGTTTCCGTAAGTCCAAGCTGGTCGGCTATTGGCCCTTCCGCTGTGACTGTGGATTTGGGCAGAAGGCTGGACGGTGGAAAGCAGGTCTCCTGTCTGCTCACGCCTTCACTGCGAAGCATGTGGAACTCCGCTTTTACTCTCCATTGTCTTAGGGACCCTTCCAGAGAACGTTAAGTGTTTATAAGCATCGTTTTCTGTTTGCTCACTTGCTAATATTTCACGGGGCCTTTTCTTTTCTGCCTTGATTTTTTCACACACCTTCTGCAGCTTGCTAATTAACCTTGTTCTTTTCAGTGGCAGCGAGCCAGTCTGTGCCAGGGTGGGGCTCGCCAGGGAGGCGAGAGGAGAGAGACCTCTGGGAGTCTGGCCTCCCTATTTCCAAGCTGCAAACCCTCCCTCAGTCCTCCCTGGAGACAAGCTCCTGTCCTCAGAGCTTCCATGAGCCTCGCTCCTCGCCGTGCTCCTCTTTTCATATCTGAGGCTCCCCAAGAACCACTGGCCCGAGCTGTGATGCCCAGTCTCCATCTCTGTCACTTCCTCTGCTTAAACCGCCTGCTTCTGCCTGACCGACTCTCACTCACACGTCAGTACCCCCCAGATTCTCTTCTCGAGCTGCCCCTTGCAGTAGCAGTCATCATCCCGTCTTCCATTGAAGCTCCGCTTCTGGCCACGCGCGTCTCTGCAGCCAGCACTTAGGGCTTGGGTTTGCTGCTTCCTGCGGGCGCCCGTGGATGGGGAGAGGCCCACACGCGCGAGTCTTCCCTGACTTCCCCCAGCCCACGTTAGAGTCTGACAAGCGCTTGTTGAGCCAAATGGTGAACTGTGGCCGTTGATAATGCAGCTTCTTCCACCCCAGGATCAGGATGCCCTGGGGGACGCCAGGGTCGCCGGCGTGGGAAACATTCGGTGCCAGGTGAAAGTGCGCACGGAGCATCCAGAGTCTCCAGCTGTGTTTTTGAAAAAGGGTAGGTTGGTGGGGCTGGCGGCTGGCAGCTGGTGGCTTGGGGCAGTGGGGCTGCACGTGGCCAGTGCTGGGGGTGGATGTCCGGCAGGTGTGCTCGGGAGAGGCCACACTGTCCCAGGGCTTGAGGCCGTTGCAGAGGCCATTGCAGAGCAGGCACAAAGGAGTGGGCAGAACTAGGCCGAGGTAGACTGTGTCTGTGCATCCCTGACGTTGCCTGCAGTTGGGGGCCGCCCCTACTGGGAGCCTGAGCTCCCTGCAGTCGCCCCTCTCCGGGGCTTCCCAGTTACGGGGACTCTCTGCTATCCCTGTGTTCCCATTCCAAGCACACCTCTCTCGCCTCTCTGTGCTCCCTCCCTTGTGCTCGTGCAATAGATTAGGGGGGATTCTGAGGTGAGGGCTGAGGCGCCTGTCATTTCAGCAGACCTCCGCCACAGTGCCGTGAGCTGCACGGAGTCTTGTCTCGGTTCACAGCTCCTTGCCCACCCACTGCCACTGCGCCCTCACACAGGCTCTCAGAGGAAAGCAAACAGGGTCCGAATCCCCGTTTTACAGATGGGGAAGCCGAGGCTCGAGAGGTTAAGAGAGTCGCCCAAGGTCCTACGGGGCACGCAGGGCAGCTGGCTGGGCCCTTGGGTGCTTGAGCCCCTCCACACGGCCTGGCGGGTCGCTGCAGCAGTAAACCCCAGTGCCCTCTGACCTGTGCCCCTCTGCTGGGCCCTGCTGGCCTCTGCCTCCCCTCCATCAGGTCAAGAGAGGGGCCTGGGATCAGGACACAACCTCTGACCTCTGACTCTGAAAGGTCCCAGATCTGCCCCTCAGCCTGGGCAGGGGAGGCTGCCCACTGCTCTCTGGCCTGACTCCTCGTGGCCTGGCTCCTCATGGCCTGGCTCCTCATGGCCTGGCTCCTTTTGACCTGGCCCCTCGTGGCCTGGCTCCTTATGACCTGGCACCTGGTGGCCTGCCCCCTCGTGGCCTGGCCCCTCGTGGCCTGGCTCCTTGTGGCCTGGCTCCTGGTGGCCTGCCCCCTCATGGCCTGGCCCCTCGTGGCCTGGCTCCTTATGACCTGGCACCTGGTGGCCTGCCCCCTCGTGGCCTGGCCCCTCGTGGCCTGGCTCCTTGTGGCCTGGCTCCTCGTGGCCTCGCTCCTCGTGGCCTGGCTCATTTTGACCTGCCCCCTCGTGACCTGGCCCCTCGTGGCCTGGCTCCTTTTGACTTGGCCCCTTGTGGCCTGGCTCTTCGTGGCCTGGCTCTTACCCCTCCGCGTCGCCAGCTATCAGGGCAGGGCCACGTGGGGACACCAAGGTGGGGAGCAGCCCCCGGCCACACGCCGCCCGGCACCAGTAGGGGGCCGCTGGCCTGCCCCGGCCAGCCCAGCCGCTGCTGCGCTCTGCAAGCTTTCATGCCCTGCCTTGTCCCAGGCCAAGAATTCAGCACCTCGAGCCAGAAGAGCTTCGAACCAACTGGTTTCGGAAACGCGCTGTCCGGCATGTACAGCCCCGTGCTGGTCTCCGCCCCGGGGGCCGGCCTGGCGGGCGGCCACCTCTCCTGTCTCCTGGCCTGCGACGGAGACCCGTGCTGTGACGGCTTCCTGCTGGCGCAGGCCCGAGCAGGTAACGTGGCAGTGCACAGGGCGGGAGCAGGTGAGGTCGGGCCGCGGCAGGCGCAGGCGCGAGTGAGGGACGTCCCGACCGATCCCTGTGACCCCTGCGATGCTGACCTGGGACACCGAGTCCTCTCCTCCGGGGAGGGCTGTGAGGTGGCTTCACAGGACCACACAGCTTGGACGGTGACGGCGGAGGGGGATTCCAGGTGCATGCCTGGGTGGCACCCGGGAGCGGCTGCCGCGTGGGTCACAGGTGGTCGCCGGTTCCCGCCTCCCGCGAGCATTTATTCAACCCCCCACGGCGCACCTGCTGTGTGCCCGGTCTGGGACGGACAGGACGGGCCTCTGGCTGACTCCTGTGGGGACAGGCCCTGCTTACGAAGTAAACCCAGGCCCTCGGCTGCGTAGCCCGCGGTCAAGAAGGCCTTTGTCCCGGACACAGCTGGCTACTGGTTGTCACTCTGTCACTTTCTGACTGTGCAGCCTGCGACAAGCTGCTGGAGCTGTCTAGTGTGCCGTTCTCTTGCCCATCAAATGGCAATCTTGATAATTCCTGCTCATCTCTTTGTTGTAAAATAGCGGGTGGGGTGTGCTGGACACGGTCACCGCTAGCTTCTCAAGGTCAATCGTAAACTTAGGTTGGCCACCACGGGTGTTGGCCATCGACAGAGGGAGCCTGGGGTCTGCTCGGGCCCCAGGGCTGCCCTGTGAGGACCGTGGCCTTCACTCTGGGGTGCTGCCAGCCTGCACCAGGGTCCAGAGGGTGACGGGGTCACACTGGCCCCCGCGGGCACTGCACCGCAGACAGACACCGGGGGCCGGAGACGGAGGACGCACCCAGGAGCCCGGCGCCTCGTGGAGGCCAAGGTGGCGCGGGTGGAGGGTGGAGGAGTTTGGGACGTGGCCGAGGGTTCAGACAAGGGACTTACCGGAAGGGCTGCGCTGCTCCCGCCACCGTGGCGACCACAGTGAGCCGCTGGCGTGTGAGGTCGCGGCTCGGACCGGAGTTAGTTGAACCCTGGAATCATTTCAGGATCGCTGCTCTGTAACCAGGGGTGCGCACCCTTGCAGTTTAGGTGAGTGAGAGCGGCAGTCACACCTGCACGCACACTCACACGCACACGCCTGTGCCTTTATGATTTCTCCGCCGAGGAGCAGTGGTTCCGATCTCGTGTGCCGTTGCCTTCTTTGATCCGCTCGCCTTTCCCGAGCACGCCGCAGCCTCTCCTGGCGCCCGATCATGCACCACACCGCATGCTTTTCTGAGCTGACGATGTTGACCTCATTTTCCTCAGGATCGCATAGGCAGGGTGGCTGTGGCCCCGGGGCCGCAGGCCTGCAGAATCCTGTGCCAGGACATCCCTGGCGAGCGCCTGCTCGCTCTCCCTGCAGGCCCAGCCCTTGGCCTGTGAGTTCTGGCGCGCTGAGCTGGAGGCCGCGCGTGAGGCTGTCTTCGAGACACATGAAACACCCAGCAGATGTTTTTTCCCAGCCTTGCCTCGGGGGCAGATCTGGAATTTAATTTGCAGAGTCTTGGCTGGATCTTCCGATGACCAGGAACAGGCCAGCTATGTCCTTCGGCTGCCGTCTGGAAAGTCATTCAAGCGCCTGCTGGTTTCTCTCTGCTTCCCAGTCCTCCCCCAGCTATGCTCCAGGCCCTGCGGCCTGCAGCCTCTAAATGGCGGTGTCTGCCCTGATGCCAGTGCGATTTCGTGGGGCTCCTGCCCCTCTGTGGCAGCTGAGGCTGCGTGGAAGCGGGGGTCAGTGGTCTGAGGCGTGGGGGCGGCCATGGAAGCTGCCGTGCGAGGCCACAGTGCTCTCAGCTCTCGCCCCCACCGCTCAGGCACGCAGAGTCCTTCTGACACTTTAGCACTGAAGCGGAAAGCCGCCTGGATCTGAGGCAGCAGAATGCTCCTGCCTCGCCTGGGTTTCTAGATTCTGGCTTGTGGTCTGCTGCTGGGTCGGGGGCACAGGGCTCAGGAGCTCCGAGACCTCAGCAGGCTCTCCCAGGCCGGCACCTTCCTCCATCCATGCCCAGCCGCACCTGGCCACTGCTCTGGTCTTGACAACCAGAGACCCTCTCTCTGTTTCTGTGCCTCAGTTTCCCCATCTGTGAAACCAGGCTCCGCCTTGGTCGGGATGCTGGAGTCTGGCTGAAACTAGAAGCTTCTGGGGTGCTATTTACAAACGCTAGTACCGAGAGCCAGAGAGACGGCTGCAGCCTCACGGGATGAACCACCCACACAGCGCCAGGGTGCCGAGCCCGAGCCCTGCTCACCGGGGGCTGTGACCTGCCCCCTCTTACAGCATCGCAGCACAGACGACACAGGGCTGAGGGCCTGGCGAGTCCCCACACGGCTCCCTCGTCTTGTCACTCCGCAGGCCCTGTCCTCTGTGGGCTGCTGAGCTCCCCCGACGTCCTGCTGTGCCACGCTGAAGACTGGGGGGGCCCGTCTGCAGCCCAGACCGGCGCTGCCTGTCCCAGCATCGCCTTCGACCAGGGGAGCCGCCAGGTGACGTGGCGCCTGGGAGGCCGGGAGCTCCAGGGTAAGTCTGCTCTCTGCCTGCGCTCCACACAGCTGGCCCTGCCACCCCTTGCTGCTGGCGTGAGCCTTTCCTCGCCATGAGCGGTTCCTACTTTGAAAAGAAACTACCAGAAAATGATGCACGAGCAGGCAGGAGCTCTGATGGGCCCTGGGGGCGGCCCCGGCACCACCCACTGTGGCCTGGCCTGGCAGGCTCAGCCTCCCCCAGAGCGGGCGAGGAAGGCACATCCCCAGGCCCCACACTGACCCGGGGGGCCCAGGACTGCCCTGGGGTGCTGCGTTCTCTGGGTCACGCTGCGCCCGCTAAGTGTGAGTCACTGGTGAGTGAGCTGGAAGTTCCCCTTCAACGAAGGGTCTCAGTTTACCGCAAGAACAGGTCCCACTATGAGGGTGAGGGGCTGCTCCCGTCGCCTCCTCTCTGCTTTTTGCCTGAAGTCAGAACTCGGGGCCGCCCTTCCCGTGCTGCTCTGGTTCAGGAGGGGCGAGAACCCTCGCAGGGGGCAGCGGGGGAGCCCAGCCCGCCGGGGAGGTCAGGGGAGCTTCACGCAGGGGAGGCTCACGGACTGCCTGTCTGTGCACACGGTCCTCGGGGCGAGCCCGTCCCTCCCGCTGGGCAGTGGGTTAGATGGCGGTGAAGATGCAGGCTCTTGGCACAGCCAGGGCTCAGTGCCAGCGTGAATGCTCGCTCGTGCCCGACCTGCCGAGCGGTCTTTCCAGTCACAAAATGAGGAGAAAGGCAACGTCTGCCCCTCTGGCATGGGAGGGTGAGTGAAGATGGCACGTGGGGCACAGGGAGCACCCGGACGGTGCCAGTACTGGGCAACCCTGGCACCCATCTTGGGTTCCCCTCGAGACACAAGGCCAGGTCGGGCGCACCTGGTGCCCGGGCCACCTCCCTGGCGTGGCGCGTGCGTGTCCTCGGCTGGGCTGAGAGCTCGGCTCCCGCAGCTCTCTGCTACAGTGTGCCTTCAGAGACCCAGTTTCACGCCTGCACGTGGCGCCTGCGTGGCTCCGGCCACTCCGGGTGGGCACAGGGGGTGCGTGTTATCCTCACCTGGGCGTGCTGACTCAGCAGGGGGGAGGGACCAGCCGGTGGAGGGTGAACTCTGGCATCTCCCTCTGGAGTTAGGTCTCCACCTAGAAATTAGGGACAGAAATGCCTGCTGGGAGACTGAACCTCCACAACATCCGGGGCTGCTGCCCTGGCTGTGGGGAAAGGACAGTGGCTCTTAGCTGTGAGTACGACAAGCCATCATGCTTTCTCGGTCTCGGGTTGGGAGCCAGCTGTCTCCCGCTGGGTCTTCCACGACTGCCCTTCCCATCCCAGGGGCAACTGGCAGGACTGAAGGTAGACCAGAGGCGAGGGAAGTGGCCCTGACTGTCGAGAGATGGCGGGAAAAGCCAGTCTTCCCAGGGCAGTGTCGTCTGGCAGCAAACAACCCAGTCATGTTATTGGTAAACTGAGTAATGGCCACGCTGCTGCAGGGGACGCCTGTCACAGGCCAGTTCATACCCGTTATCCCCAAGCTCGCCATCACCAGGCCGGTGGTCAGCGAGGCAAGGGTCTCAGCCGACTGAAGAGACGTGGAGTGAACGTGGCCGTCAAGCACCCCTCGGGCTCTGCACCTGTTGGGCCACCGTCAGTCCCTCGAGTGGCTGCGCGTCACGGCTCACCGTCCCTTGAGTGACAGTAGTGCCTTTGGTGGCCTCTGCAAGACACCAGGGCCTGCCCTGCCATGGTCTTGTGCCTCAGTGTGGGGAGAGCACCCCGACAGGCTTTGGGGCGCACCTTTGTGGGAACCAGAGTTTCGGGCCCCGAAGCGGCCGGGGCAGGAAGGGAGCAGAGGTGGTGTGGGGGCCCACCTGGCTGCAGCCTCACACGCGCTCACAGAACCACCCTCTTTCAGGCCTCGTGCCGCTGGAGGGGACGCAGGACAGCTTCAGCTTCCAGCAGGTTTATCTCTGGAGAGGTAAGCTCTGGGCAGGCTCACGTGACACCCCCACCCAGGCTGCCCGCAGGGGGCAAGGTGTAGATTTGCTTTCCACGTGAGAGCTTGGTGTGGCGTGAAGGGCCTCAGACCTCCCAGATAAGGCACCACCAAGAGAAGTGCGAAAAGCGTGGAGCCCACCGATGGGCCGGGGAAGGGGGCCTGGAGCCTGGGGGTCGCGTTTGCTGGCCAGAGGCCTGGTCACTGGGACGAGGCTGTGAGGCTGCTGCTGCGTCTCCCAGGGCCCAGCCTCGCCCTCGGGGGCCTCTCTCCCTGAGCTCGGTGTGGGCACAGGGCGGGTTTGCCACGAGCTCCTGCTTCAGGGCGGGGCGCTGTGGGGCAGGTGGGAGGCTCAGGCTAAGCACAGGTGTGGCCCTTTCCCTGTGTGGTTGGTCGAGGACCGTGTGGCAGACTCCGTCGAGTTTGCTGAACCCTGGCCAAGTGCCCCCAGAGCCGGGAGTGGGGGAGCGTCAAGTGAGCCTGAGTGACGTGAGGCGAGGTGGGCAGGGCCTCGGCCTCCTGGCCATGGAAGCAGACGAAAGGGGCCGGTGTCCAGGCCCCAGGCGCCCCGTGGCAGAAGGAGGGACCCAGCGTCCCCGGCCTCCTCTGTCGCTGCCCCGCCCCTCCTGTATCCCAGAGGCCCCTGGTGAGCTGCTTCTGGGCTGGTGCAGACTTGGGGTGCGGGGTGTGGACGCCATTGCCCACACCTGAGGTCAGACCGTGAGCTCCATGCCCTGTGGGTGAGCACGGGCCCTGCCGTGCGTGCCCAGGGCTGAGGATGGTGTCCAGAGAGCAGGTGCCGGCGGTGACGGGGGCGGCGGGGGGCGGGGCGGCAGAGGAAGAAGACGAGGGAGGCACTGGCCTCACCGTCCCCTGGCAGGGACAGGATGAACCTCCACACCGTCCTCGCTTAGTCAGGACCCTAAGGCCGTCATCTGGCGGCGCAGCCTGTCACGCAGTTCTCAGGCCAGGGCTGAGACGTGGGACCGCCAGAGAAATGCCCACAGAGGGCCGGCCGGTGCTGGGCCGAGACCCGGGTCTTGCTTCCAGTTACCAAACAGTCCCAGCACGAGTCGCGGCTGGTGAGAAAGGAGGGGGTTGCTTCTCCTCGGGGCGTCTGGCCTGCTGTGCCCCAGCAGAGACCCGAGTACCCACAGACTCTGCTTTGGAACACTTGCTCGTGACGTGGAAGCTGTCCTGGATTTGTGGGATTCTGTGTGCCACGGGGGTTCTGGCACCGCGGACTCAGCCCTGAGTCTGGGCTCAGCGAACCCTGCGCCCGAGCCCCACCGCCACCGTCCAGGCCGACGCCAGCGCTGGGAGTGCCCGACTCGGCCCCGGCGGCGTCCGGACCAGCCCTGCTCGGAGGTGGGGCGTCTGCCGAGGCTGAGCCGTGCAGACCCGGCCCGGGGCGCCGGCCCTGGGAGCCCCACCGACCTCCCTTCTCCTCCCACCTCCGACCGCCCTTTCTCTTTGCCCTTCTAGCGTCGGACATGGGGTCGCGGCCCGAGTCTGCGGGATGCAGCAGACCAGACACGAGGCCGACCGTGGCGGCGGACCCAGGTACCAAACACGAGCGTGTCCTCGCCTGGGTGTCGCTGCGGAGGTCACAGGCACGCCGCGGGGGTCCTCACTGACTCCGCAAGCGCGGGCGCCCTGTGGCCACCTCCTCAGAGGGGCCTTCGGCAGTGGACGTGAGCGGAGGCCGCAGTCGGGCCGCCGCTGCCGAGGGCTGGGAAGCGGCCGTGGGAGCCTCCCGGCACGCGCCTGGCACCCAGATGTCTGTGCCACCAGCCGAGCTCTCCCGCAACCCAGGGTGAGCGCGGCCCTCGGCAGGGAGGGGACAGAGAGACGCCGCTGCCCTGACCCGGGCCTCGGCCGCCAGCCCCGCCCCGCCAGCTTATGCAGCGCGTCTCGGAGGCTCGGTGTCCTGATCCCATTTTACCAAGAGGCACGTGGGGTGCCTCCTTGACCCAGCCCACACTCGGTGGGCAGCAGCGCGGGGGGAGAGTCGGGGCCAGGCCAGGCCGGCTGACTCAAAGCCTCGTGCCCCAGGTGTAGACAGCGGGGCTGCAGCCCCCTGACAAGTCGCCCCTGCTTACACACAGGCGGGTTTTGTTTGATTTATAGAGAATTTTAATGATTTTAAATGGAAACAATTATTTTTAGACTGGGGAGGTTTTTTTTTTTTTTTTAAGATTTATTTATTTGTGCATACAGAACTGGGGTACAGGCCAGAGGTGTGGAGGGTGAGGGATTCACCAGAGACAGAGCGGGGAGCAGATCAGGTAGATGGATGAAGCACCCTGCTGAGGGGTGCAGCGGGTGGGTCAGGAGAGGTCTGCTGCTCCCTGGCGGGGATCGAACTCATGCTGCAGTGGCTTCGGGGAGCTTCACAGTGGGACGCTTTAACCCATTGCGCACCAGGGAGGGCCCAGATTGGGCAGTTTTATGTACAAATTCAGATGTCCACCTTCTCTAGGGGAGTTTCTGGCCCAGTGGCTTCCGCTTCCCCCGGGCTCCCACCGTCTGGGCTGGGGGAGCTGGTGCTGCGTAGCCAGCAGGCCCTGGCCCAGGCACTCCTGTGACCCTTCCGGGCCTTTCCGGATCGGCCACGCGCTTCACCCAACGGCACCGTGAGCGATGTAGCAGCGTTGACCATGTCTGTAAAAGCCATCCTCGCGCTCTGTGCCAGGCCCTGTGGATCCACAGGGTGACCCCGGGCTCCCAGCAGGAGCGAGCGCTGGACCCGGCCCAAGGCCTGGGGGCGGGGAACAGACAAACTCAGCTCAGGTTTCCTGTTCTCAACTGATTCCATTTCTAGTCTGGGGAAGATCAGACCTCGCAGGAGGAGCCATGGAAGTCCCTCTGCGGGGCTCCCGCGGCTTCTCCTGGTCTGTCCCGGGAGAGAGCAGCGCTGGGATTCCAAGCCAGAGCAGAGTCTCTCCCTGTGCTCAGCTTCCGGCAGTTAGTGAGCCCCAGACACACAGGGGAGCTCCGGCAGCCTCCGCCCCAGGAGCGTGGGGTGGGGACAGCAGCCAGCGGAGCCTCCTAGGCGTAAGCAGGCCCAGGCTGGGCGGCCCCGTGCTCATCCCCGCACCGCAGAGGCCGCGGCTGCCTGCACGCCGCGCCCGGGACCTTGCCGCCTCGAGAGCTCCAGCCGTGGCGGCCCTGTGGCAGGCTGCGAGGGGGCGTGAGGCCCGGCCCGTGGGGGTTGGGGCGGTCTCTCTCCCCGCCACAGGCTGGATGCCAGTGAGGACCTCTGCACCCTGAGCTGCTGCGTGGAGGGTGGGACGTGGCTGTGGGCAGGGTGCTCCAGTCGAGGCCAGTGGGTGCCGTGGGGTAGACTGGCCTCCCTCCAGAGCCCCAAGCTGAGGGCCACTGTCAGCACACCAGCTCACCCCCGTGACCTGCGTCATGGCCCCTAAATCAGCTCCTGTGGAAGGTCAGAGTCCTCGCGACGAGCAGAAATGCTGCTCCCCACCCCACCCGCCCCTAGGGCCTGAGCTGCGGCCCGTCAGCACTCAGAACTTTGTGGAGCCTGAGTGGAGGGTGTCTCTGTCATTCACGGCCCTCCCTCTTTCTCAGATTTGACCACCGAGCTCTTCTCCCCCGTGGACCTCTCCCAGGCCACTGTCAGTGGAAACCGGTCCCTGCCAAGCCGGCAGCACAGACTCTTCAAACACCGATTCTCATCTCAGCAAGCAAAGCTGTGGTGCTTCTCTCGTAAGTATCCTGAGACCACAGCCTTCCCCTGCCAGCCTCTGTGAACAGGCATCCCACTGACTGCCCTCGAGAAACAGATAATCAAACTCCATGGTGTGACTCAGTCATCGCCTTCATGTGAGCCTCACCGGTGACACAGACACATAGCACAAGGCACAACCCCAGTCTTCAAGAAGTTTAGGCTGCAGTTCATCTACTCTGTTCCCAGATCCTGTTATCCATCCACCCACCCACCCATCCATCCATCTCTC